TTTATAGAGAGTTTTTGCACTAAACTCGGACGGATTTAAAAAAAAAAAAAAAAAATTGGAGGTCGGGGACTTTTATCAGGTCGGGCGGGGACGCTAAACAAGTAATTTTTTTATGTGGCCTTATATTAATATATAGTGCTGTGTTGTGTGAAAATATAGTGTACATATCAATATTAAAAAGGCAAAAGCATGTTGACTGTACTCAGACTTTTGACCCCCACTGTACAACATTACAATTTCATCCTAGATAGGAATTTGAGATACTTATTGTGTTCCTAATCTGATGATTTCCAACCGCTAGAATTTCTCCTTACTTAATCCGCTCTCAGTTACTTCTTAACTTTAACTATCCAAATGTAAATTTGACAATGACGTAATTGACACAGAACGCCACATGGTAAACACATTAAGTTTAACAATGACGGACCAACATGGATCTACATAAAACATTGCCTACAATGTTATGAATTTGAAAAATGCACAGACACAAGTTCTTCATTAATACTTGTCATTTAGTATTAGACAATACAGAGAGATATATTTCAAGTGGTTAAAGGAGACAACAAGTAGATTTCATATTTATGTTGGTTGCATTCTGCCAAGGGAATTTTCTTTTGTTCTATTAAATCAAAGAAACGTCGTCTGTGTGGGCAAGGGTTATAAATATTACCTTTAATATTCAAATTCCTCATTTTAGTTTATAATGAACAGTTTATCTAATCAGATTATACACCATAATCTTTACCATTAAAACCACAATAGATGGTCAATAAGAATGCGGATTTACTGGATTTTAAAAGTTATTTCCTGCACACCCATTAATCTGTGTAGTTATTATACCCTAATCCTGCGGAATTTAAATGATCAAGTCTAGGGATGTTCTTAATACAAAACTGTTCTACCAACCAAATAATTCAATTCAAAAGTACTAACACACTAATTGCTCTTTGTTCAATACACAGCAAAACAAATGTACAGCAAGTATTATATGCATAATGCATCTAATTATTGTTTACTTCATAAACTACATTTTCCTATTTCACCAACACTCATGAATATATTAAGAATTAAGAGTTAGAATTAATCATTAGTAAAAATATTTATTTGTTTTAAAGCCAAATATATGTTTGTTTAAATATGTTTGTTCAACAGAACAATGGTCAACTGCTGGTGATATAATCACAAGGCATTGCAAACTGGCCATAAAATACAAGATTTTACAAAATTCAATCTGTTAGTGTTGAAATGTTGCAGTATACAGGTAGTTAATTAAACAAAAATTCCGAAAACATGGGAAATCTTGATAGAGCAAGATAGCAATAAAGTAAACCTTTTCGATACTGATGCTTAAATATCAAGGCAGCTGAGGGGATGATGGAGAGACAGAACACAAGAGGACAGAATACCACTGGCCATTGTGTATAATGAATTGTTTCCTTACATAAAAAACTTTACATTCACTGATATCAATGAAATATAGTACAAAATGTTCAATAATTTTTTGTTTGAATGGAACCAAATATTTCAGTAGCTTAATGTACAAGAGACTACTGTAAAACTATCTCTAAAAAGTTTTGCAAAAAATTCCTGGCAGTAGTGCTGGCCTTATATATATGTTGGAGTTCCTTTAAACCATTGAGCACCAGTGCTCTCCCCTTGACAAGTTAGACGGAGTAAAGTAGTAAAGTAGGGCAGGACACAATTTTAATATGGGTTAACTTCGGTATCATACTGGCCCCTTGTGTGTGTTATAAATTCTATTCGCAAGATTATTCCTTTGCTGGTATTAAAATGGAACTGTATACAGTACTTTTGTTTCAAATTTTTATTTGTATACATATGTGTGAACATTGCTATTGGTTGTTTCATCTTTTCTCTCTTTTTCTTTCAAACAATCCAACTATGGAAGCTTTTTCCAGAGGAAAGTCAATGCGTGACGCACATTATGCAAGACCTTCCTCGCTTGGTTGACCACAAATCAACCTTCCCTTAAAAACTTCCCTCGCATTCGTACATTCCACCTTATTTACTAAAATGCTCTTTTCAATTTGTTTTCCTGTTATTCAAATATTCAACAGTGTGTTAGGTATGGGGCCCCTATAGAAAACTGTTAATGCACCGTTTTTGTCATAAAGGTCCTGGAAAATTTTGCTCATTATATTTTTAATGAAATTAACAAAGGCAATACTTTAGATTAACTGTTTTTTTTAAACTTGGATACCAACTTTGATGAGCTAGTATTCCATTATTGGATGCCAAGAAAAAATCTAATCTCAAACCCTGCTTGCCACTCTCAGCAATATATAGGTTATGGTTAACTCTAAAATGTTAAAGGGCACATCACATGTAACTAGTTACTATTACAGCTTTTTCAACAGTACTCACAGTAAAGATCACCAGGAATGAAATAACAATTTCCCAGTAAATAAAATTCAAACACAACATAACATAACATAACATTACATCTTCAGTAATTGGTGTAGCTTTAACCCAGCTGCAATGCTCCAATGCTCCTAATATATTTTAGCCTGTTGACTTCAAGTCTACCCCATTTCGTATTGACAGGAGTTATCAGCTGCACAGTACAGTGTATTCAATTAGCCTTTCTCACTAAATCTGCCATTTTGGGGTACTTTTTATAAACAACTATGAAAAATCTAAGCGATGTGAAAATAATTTTTCAAATATTGAACTGTAAATGGATTTATAATGATTATACTTACAACTATACAGTAGTTATAGAAAGTTTCATTTTCACTGTTTACTATCCCTGTTCTAAAAAAGGTTGCCACCCAAAAATGGCAGCGTGAGAAAGGCTAATTAGGTTAGGATAGAAATAAATGTTTAATCAAACAATTACCAGTAAGTCACAAAAATATGAATCACATGTCTTTCTACCATTAGGTACATTTGTTGTAACATTTATCAGTTCCCAGTTGCTCTTTTAAGCTTGGTTCACATATGCCTGCGGCATGCCTGCGACTGTATCATCATGCCTCTACTTGCCGCCGAAATACTGGCAAAGTTGAACTCAAGTCAACTTTCCCGGCCTACTGCCAATGTAACTGTGGCACTGGAGGCAATCAGTGAACAAATATTCACATAATTCACATTTTAAGCTACCACCGGCATTGTCACCGGTACGTCACAGGCACATATGTGAACCAGGCTTAAGTCTTTTCATCACATAAATGAAATAGTAAGTGCTGTATGTAGTTCTAAAACCACTATCAGACTTTATCAGAAACCAATTCCTGCACCCACTATTTTGATGATAATAAACATCCCATGTAATTGTAGGGGTTACAGTGCCAGCCACAGTGGAGATATAATTTAGCAATAGTGGCTGACAAACCAACATGATATTTTACCAACTGATTTAAATATATATTAGAGATTTCTAGAACTGGCCTAGCCCCAAACATATAGACAGCAAAATCAGTTTTAAAAATGTGATGTTGAACATTATTTTGTAAATGTTACAATACCAGATACATATAGTATTAATACATCATACTGGTATCAGTGTCAGACATTGATTTAATATTTATCAGTGCCTGAAAGTCCTCCACAGTACTATTAACACAAAAGTGACAATTGACTTCATTACCCATGTCTATCAAAACATTATTTAAATGTCAGATTGTAAAGAGTGAAACAAAATGGCTTTTAAAACCTTTATTGCCACAATAGCTGTGCTCTGACTTCACGCGTGTGTTGGCAATTTGCCAAATAGTGAAATTGGCAAGTTTGCCACTGCATCTGTCAATGGTTTCAATAAAGGAACAAACACACACATATTCAAAATGGTCACAAAATAGTCCTAAAACTGGATAATTACACATATAATGATGTATGGTAAATATCGAGGCAAACATTCGGGTTAACAAACTTACAAGAATTCAAATATAAAATCCTCTTGTTTTTCTACGACAAACGTCTTTGAAGCAGCATGAAATAATTTGAGAGCATCCTTTACTGATCTATCCGAGGCCGGAGGGAGAAGAATGACACTGGCAGAATGGCATATAAATGCTGGTCAAATATAGTAGTATCAGGCCGGACAACGCAGTGTACGATCTGTATTGTTTTTAGTATTGCTCATGGAGGTTTTCAGTAGTTAACACACTGAATATGAAATATGAGCGCCTTGTAGCGGTCAAACAGATGGTGTTTGATACTTGAGTCAACGCACATTTATCATGAAACTGTTTTGAATCCATTGAAATAGTCACGCTCGATCGTACCTTGTGCTTATATTCTTAGACTTAGTACATTCTGTGTGACTAATTATAACTTAAAGTTGAGGTTTCAAAAATTTAACATATTGGCTTTTGGTCACGTCTGTGTTGTTTAAGATCGCCTTTTCCTGCATAATTGAATAGAAGTGAAACAAGTATACGATATTACTTAATTAACGAGACATGTATATCCTGTTCACAGCTTTGTCAAAGCAATACGAAAATGCTATAATGTATTCGATAAATGCATCCCCATATTAGCAATACTAAAAAAATCACGCACCGCCACCAGAGCTTTACGAAATCAATGACAGGTCATATAAACACACATTATGCGATCTATGTAGCAAATGATCAATAACTGAAGAATGAAAATAACAAAATGTTAGAATTTGGCCACAGTCGTTTAGCAGGAAAAATTCACTATCTATTGAGTATTGTTTGCCCATTGCGGAAATTGAGGAATGAGTTACTTTCTGCTGCGTATGCCAAACATTTTCAGCTGAGATCAAAAGTCGGCAAGAGAGCATAAATTGAGCATATTTTTGATGATTGATTTAATAGATCATACAATGATTATAAAGATTTAAACGTAAACGGCAAATTCTTAGCGCACAACTGGTGTTTCTCTTCGATTTAGAAGGTACAGTAAAATCACGTTGCTTATTGACTATTATATATATATTAACTATGATTTGTTGCATTTTGATTTCTGGCAATTTTCTCAGTGTGAAGACTTAGACTAAGGATGACAAATTAGTCGGATTATTGGCAACGCCATTATTATACAGCATAGCCTTGCATAGCCTAAATAGCTCATAAGTATATATTAACACGCTATACCGAAGACAAATTTGTCCTTAGACGGGCATAGCTTCCATACTGTAACCTATACTCATTTGAAAGAAAGCTTTGAATACATTTTGCCATGTTCAGTGATCGCAATAACAAAACAGACATCATGCGGTATGAGCAAGCGATCATAAAATACCAAAGCACTGCTTTGGGAATTCAATGCCTCCTTTCAATCTAGTTCTAAACAATACACAAATGTATGATACCAGTCTACTTACCAGCTCGTAACCCGACGTTTTCGCCTCCGAAACGGCCAATGTTTTCAACAGAAGTACCCTACCCAACCGAGATAAAATGTTCTTTTGACTTGGGTTATGTGTTGTCAGACATTCTTGAACTGTTTTGGTTCGATCAGCCAATCAGCGTTTGCTATGAAAGATAATATCCGGAGGGCAGCCAATCATAACTGTTTATTACAAAGGCGCATCCAGCCGATTGTGCCTTGATAATACGAAGTTTAGATAAAGCTTGACAGACCTTGACAAGTAGCCAGAGATTCCTTCTTGCTTTATACGCCACAGGTTTATATCTGCGTTTTTCCGGTGTGGTTATTTAAAATCGCAATACGCAGTTATCCTAATCATATGCCGTGAAGTTAGGTTTTCAGAAAGAAAAAAATAACATCATTTCCCATGTGTCAAGTATTTCATAAATGTGACAGTTGGAAGATGTCATGATACAACAAGATAGATCGCGATATACAACATCAACAAAACAACAACACCAAGCTTCGTACATATTTTACGAACATAAATGATATATGTTCTATCTTTATTTCACTTAAGCAATTTACATGAAATGCCAATATATAATTTAATCGATTAATTTTGTAAATGTATTTTAATTTTTAGGCTTTTAGCACACCACAATAATTACGCCGACATTTTGCGGGTTATTTTAGGCTCTTCAACACTGTTGCCAGGAGTTGCTGTGCAAGGGCCAAAGATAGACGAAGTCAACAGGGGTTTATCCAAACTGAATTAAATGCATTATATAAAAATTTGGAAATGTCTTTCATGCAACCACGGTCCATGGCTAAGTTGATTTAGAAAAATCAGCCAGTGTTAACAGTTGGAGACTTCGAGTTCCCCTACAGTTTCTGCAGTTTTCAGGTTTTTTGCCTCATAACTAATTAATAACTATGGGGCTCTTCGGATGACTGGCCCGGTTGCCTCAAGATGCCAAGATCCCCGGCATAGATCATTTGCAGATGATTACTGTGGAAATGTGTTATATGGCTTGCTTTATTGGATGTATTCAGCCTAGAAACCAATAAACCATCCAAAAAAGTCTAAACAAGTAGAATAAGGACTAAGGCCAGTTCCATTAACAACTTTTGACCGTAATATTTTGTGACAAGGGAAAAAAAGTGGTCTCTCTTCAAACGTGCCTATACTGGAAAACTTAAACCATATGACATATCTTTATCGACTATGACATTTACCGAAAGACGTCGGACGGTCGGAGGTCGATAACACAAACTGATAATTCTGAATCACAGTTATGGGAAAACTGAATTCACTAATGGACCAGGGTAAAGAATAAAGATATCGGCACTAGTGATGGGCGATACAGAGTACTCGGTATTCGATACCAGCGATACCACAAACAGCGGTATCGGTATCGATTACTGAGGATATAGATTCATGTCTCGCTAATAGGGTTAGCGGTTAGGGTTAGGGTGGGGATTAGGGTTAGCATTATAAATAGCGAGACATGATAATGAACCACTAAAATAACTCTTAATATTCCAAATTCGGTGCGCCAAGTCAGGTATAGAAAATATTTATTACGTTTAGGGCTTTTGGTTTACTTATAGCTTTATTTAGGTTACATAAAGGTTACATACAGTAATGCAAAATGTTTTTCCGCTCATCGAAAGTAGCCGATACTAGCAATTTAAGTACTTACTTTCGGTATCGAAAATTGAAATTTTGTGTTTATTTTAGTATCGAAATAGGTATCGGTATCGGCCGATACCGATCTTAAAAGTATCGGTATCGGTATCGAATTAAAAATCCTGGTATCGCCCATCACTAATCGGCACCCATGGGTTTAATTCGTTGAAATAATGATCACTCTTTTTAATTAATTAATTTCATTTGCATTCCCTTTTTTCTTTCATAAGGACGTTAATTAAGATGTTTCAGAACCTTTGTGGCTGTTTCCGTTGATATTTCTTCTTTATCATTTCAAAATTCGGTTGCCTTTGTCACAGCATGACGTCATAGCGTTTAATATTATTTTTTTTAGTTTTCGTTCCATGTTTCGCGCACCAATATAGGTTAGGGTTACCATTTTTTTTATATCAACGTTATGACGTCACTCGTTTAATTTATTGAGTTGATATGACGATTTCACAGTTGGCTGTTAGCCAATCAGAAATTATTTTATATTAATAATAAGTTATTATTAAATTGACACGGTTCATTGAATATTAGATTGACACGTACTTACGGTTCATTCGTCGGAAAGACAATATCTACGGAGATATGCCTCTTGAATATTAACCCCCTCTTCTGCTGAAGAGGCTGACGATACACTTTTTAAAATTAAAAAACAAATTCAGCTCTACTGAACATACATAAATGTACATTCCATTCAGATCCTTAATAAAGCAAGTGAAAAAAACATGAAATAAAGAGAGTGAAAGGGTATTTTCGTGTGCTGCGAATGTGATTTGCCGGTTATCGTGAAATATACGAAATGACGGAATTTAGTGTCGTGGACATAACATGCATAGCCGGTAAGCCGTGATTGCATGTATATACTTTTTTATTTTTTACTAGATATTTCCGGTTGGTTTTAAAAAGATCTTTTAATGCTGGTGAAATTCATAGTTTTCGACGTAAAATTAAGCTAACGGATTAAGAAAGGTATTACCACAGACTGAGTAGAGACATACAGAGCTGTAACTGACCGTCGTAAACACTGCGGAAGCTTACGTTTTCATGTACCCACTTTTTTTCAGGCGACCGGGCAAAAAATGATCAACTGCGCGTGCTCAGCAAGTTTAAAGTGAGTCGTCGTCAGGTCGTCATCCAATCAGATGCATGCATGTAACTTGCCGAACATGCGCACAAAAAAAGTGGGTACACTAGTTACAACTCTGTATGTCTCTCCTCTGTGGTATTACTAAATACTCAAGATAGAAACAGCTGACTAATTTAATTAAGCCCCGTTTACACAACGCTCAATTTTTGGTACCGTACCACTCTTTGGTTCTTGGACTACCTAAATAGATAGTCCAAGAACCAAAAAAGTGGTACGGGTACCAATTTTATCCGTCGGCCGCACCAAAAATTGAGCGTAGCTGGTAAACGGGGCTTTAAACTGTTAAAACGTGTACTTAATTTTCGTGAAATGCGGTTAATTTTTTACGTGTAAAACATGACATGGCTGTTGAAACCACTGAAACGTGATCCAACTGACCACCAAAGCCCCATCCCTCTACCACCCTCAATAAAGAATGGATTTTCAAATTTACGCACTATAGTTTAATTAACTGAAATTTACCCATCGCACAACGGTGAATGTAAAAGGCGGAATGGCATGCGGAATGGCCTGCGGAATGGATTGCGGAATGGCATGCGGAATGGCCTGCGGAATGGCCTGCGGAATGGGTTGCGGAACGAAAAATGATGTACATTTCGCAACATTTTTTACCGGTGATGCAAAACATCCAGATAACTTGATACCAGTGGCGTAGCCAGCTCGATAATTAGGGGGGGGGGGACATATTCATATATTCGTGTTCTGCATTATTAATTTATTTTGAAATTGATAATTCATATTCTGCTGTGTTGTGCTGTGCTGTGTTGTGTTGTGTTGGCTAAGATTGGTACCTTAATATCCAATTGCCATGGTGATAAAGCACTCTGAAGGCGCTATCAGGGGGGATGCGGGTGGGGGGATGCAACCCTCCCAACATTCTCGTACCCCGAGACTCTGGCCAAATCCATATCAAACTGGCATCTGATTGGCTACAACGAAGGTTATTGTTCTAATACCGGATATATTCTTTTACCATTTTTTTATGGTATCCGTTTTTGCAGTTGGCCAGAGCCCCTCGTCGCACCACGCGTAAGAAGGGCTCTGGGTACGGGAATGCCCTCCCAATAATTCGCTAATAATCATTCTTTTTTCAAAATCATGCAGACCTTTATCATTTAAATAATATACCTTTAAAATACTGACAATGGACCATTTGCATTTTAGACTAAATTTTGATCTAGACAAAAATTTCATCACAGCTTGAAAGAGCATCGCAAAATTAGTAATATTCCGTTTAAATAGCGCATGTGCTTTATCTGTATCTTTATCTTTATCTTGGTATCGCTGAATGCCATGCACTAAACGTGTTTTAGTGTCATTGCCCTTTTAGTTTTGCTTTTCCAGCAATTCAAACAGTCATACTTTTTTGCCCCACCTGATAGTAGCTAAGGCTTTATTGTAGAACGTTGGCCTTTATTGTAGAACGTTGGCCTTTATTGTAAAACTTGTATACCTCCACTGGACCCTGTTGCCTGAGTTTTTCCGAAAATTATGGATTTTATAGCGTTCGAAAAATACACCCTTTCGATAATTACGTGTTTGGCCTGGAAGCTTCGACTCTCGAATCGTCTGCAAATCACCTTGCGTTTTTTCAAAAAAGTATTTATCGCGATGTAATTATCGCCAAAAAAGTATTGATGATGTAATTATCGAAAGGTCTATACGTCGAGAAGTCACTCAGAAATGCGCTGCCATAAGATTATCGCGCAAAAATTGTCGCGAAATTTACATCATTTTTCGTTCCACAATCCATTCCACAGACCATTCCGCATGCCATTCCGCAATGCCATTCCGCCTTTCACATTCACCGCAACTCGATTCAGCAATCTAGTGCTTGTGAATTTGCAGATTGCAATCACGACATATTGCCGTCCATCCGATGATACGTTTCAGTGAATGTAAAAGGCGGAATGGCTGTGGAATGGCAGACAATGGCATGCGAACCAAAAGTTTTTTGGAGACTTCGAGTTCCCTTATAGTTTCTGCAGTTTTCAGGGGTTTTTTGTCATTATAAATTTTTTTTGTTATGTTTGTGATAATTTAGTTCACAATATTCGGTGAACATTTTAAATTTTCAAATTTGAAACGCCAAAAAGTGATCGAAACTCCGATAATAACATTATCGGTTCAAAGCTATCGGTGATTAAAAAAATGCATTTGTTTTATGTCTGGCTTTCATTTCCAGTTAAACAAGGCCAAAACTCAAACCTGACACAAAAAGGCTGATTGGGGTGCACATATAATAGAATGACTATTATACCCGTCTATATCACTGCGTCTATATACTATCAATGATATATATCATCATATCATATCATATATATCACTATGATATGATATGAATATGATAGTGGTCCATGACAGCACTATATTAAATTAATGAATTAAACAAAAGACAAGAAATGTGCATGCACGCAGCTATTTTACATTGCATCCAGCTATTTTATGCTGCTATCTCTGTTGATCATGATTTGTAGTGTCAATCAGGCGAGGACGTTTTTTTGCATAATGGGCATTGAGCCATGCATTGATGTTCCCCAGCGAAAAAGTTCCCATAGTTGGTCCAAAAAGACAGTATAGTAAGAGGGCGAATCGGAAGTTAGAGATACATTGTTCGAGAGAGAAAGGATGACAACCGATAGCAGTGTTCAGTCGTATATGTATATATATAGATAACGATTGTTACCGCCTTTTAGTCTCTCACTTGTCTCTTCATGCAATCCGTAGTGAAACTGCATGACATCTGTTGATACGAAAAAACATTGAGCAAATGCGCATTTTTTCAGTGATGCCGCAAAACACGCAAAAAAAGAACGAACACAAAAAAGGACGATAAAAGTACAAGATAAAAGACCAAGCAATGTTACAAGCCTTGGCCGGTTCATTTTAAATAGCCCATGCCCATGGAAAAATATATTGTCATCTTATGATGATAACTAACTAACAACATTTACTGAAATAATAAATTATGGTTTAAAGATGATAATGCCAGAAAGATCAATTAAAGAATAAAGTTCACGCAAATGACCGTCCGTGGACTACCAGCCATTTGAAACGCCTTATAATTTTAGAAAGACAAAAAGCATTTGACTTAGGTAACAAATTTATGTTTAATTTGTTGCGAAACAAAGTCAAAGTAAATCGAGAGAGAGAACGTTGTCGTGAAGTATAGTCTAAGAATAAAAGTTCGGGACCTCCAAGATTCGAAACCTTAAGACTGGTGGCAAGAAGTAAAACAGCTTGGTACGGTCAGCACACGACCAGACCTCATGCAGATCCATGATTAGATTTCAACTTCCAAACTGGGTTCTATATAATTATAAAGAGCTGTTTTGACATTCTTGTACCTGCAATTACTGATGTTCTTAACACATCTTTCCGAGAATGTAAAATTCCCTTAGTTCTGAAGGTGTGGAATATATAGTAGATGTGTCACCCCGGCCTGCTTAAAGCGCGAAAAACATATTACTGACTTATTTATTTAAAAAAAGACTTGAAGCCAATATCTATATTATATCCTTAACATCAAAATTGTCAAAAATTGCAGAAAATTATATAAATAAAACACTCCTACGCGTGCTTTAAATATAGTACATATATAATGTACATATGTAATTTTATTTTTTTTCTTGCGGTCCGAAGTCATATTTTATGCTTTTCTGCAATCTGATTGGCTACGTGAGCGGTCCGTATGAGCCCGTACGGACCGCGCGAGATTTAAAGCCGTAGAGCCAATGTTTTTATTTTTCAAAATTTAAAAACGAGTTTAAAGGCTACTTTTTAAAACATTAAAATGCCTGCAGACGATGAAAAACACAGTGAAAACGAATTTTACTATCTCACAAAAGATATTTCTCTTCCCGATAGCATTGATAGAAACGACGTTTTATTTGGCAGCTTCATTCGCGTGCGTGAGGAGTGATTGGGGAAATCCAGAGAAGGAATTAAAAAAAAATAAAAATATTATTTACCGGTATGGTCGGTCCGTATAGAGAAATATTTCTCTCGGTCTTAAAAACGTCCCTCGGCCTTCGGCCTCGGGCCGTTTTTAAGACCTCGAGAAATATTTCTCTATACGGACCTCCAATCCGGTAAATAACATATATTATAAATAATTATTCATGCATTTATAACTTCAAGACTGGATTATTGTAACTCCCTGTTGTATGGTGTACCCAAATATTTGCTTCAGAAGCTTCAGAGAGTCCAAAATACTGCAGCTCGTTTACTAACTGATACTAAGAAATCGGCGCATATC